TTTGGGTCAGCTGTCCTGGCTGTGCCCCCTCCCAACTTCTTGTGCACCTCCAGCCTTCTCAGTCGGTAGAGCATGGGAAGCTGAAGAGTCCTTGACTAGTGTAAGCACTGCTTAGCAACAACTAAAACATCGGTGTGTTATCAACACTGTTCTCATCCTAAATCCAAAACACAGCACTGTACCAGCGACTAGGAAGAAAATTAACTCTATCGCAGCCAAAACCAGGACACCCTGAAAGCTTCTGATTTTCATGACTTTGACCACTATTTCTTGCTGCCTCTGCCATTTAGTGCTGAGCTACATCACCCACAGATTCTATGGCTGAAACTATGGTATGTCTTGCACTGCAGGGATCTAAATGTGATCTTTGCATCTTGGACCTGCCTCTAAACATGAGAAGTGGTTGTTCACTGCACAGCATTGAAGCAGAAGCTGCATTGACCAAGATGCAGGTAGCCATCTGAAATTGTTTGACAAAGTGACTTTCGGAAAGTATAACTGCAGCAACAACAGCCAGCAGAGATGAAGATTTCATTATATTGCTGCTGTTGGCTTTTCTGAATATAACAACTGTGAACACAGGTTGCCTAGCTTTCTTTTTGAACTTACCAGCTTTTCCTTTGACTCACTAATAGGTGTTATGCCTCTTCTTAGTTAAATGGCACCCACTATTTGGGGGGGGTGGAAGGGGGGGGCGTGGAGGCAGGGTTGCCTGCCTGCCAGTGATTCCCTCCGTTCAGGGATGTCTTGCATCTATTTGACCACAGAACTGAAGCCTTTCCAGGCACGTTTCAGCGCAGCCATGGAAATGCATAAATCTGCTGTGACAGTAGTTGTGAGGGGGGAGAGTTCTGTTCTTAGAACAGGCAAATAGTCACCAACTCATTTCAGCTTGGTGGCTTCAAAGTTTGGGGAGGCTAACATTTTTCTGATAAAATCAAATTCAGTGTATTAATTTCCAGGGAGGTTCATCTTGTATCTAGGGAAGCTGTCTTTGCTGGTGTAAGACAGCAGTCTTAATTACACGAGAAGACGGACAGTAGTAGCTTGGGGAAAGGTCTTTAAGGACCTTGTAAAAATTAAGGGATTCTTCTGACTCTAAACAAAATCCCATAGCTCACCACTGGAATGACCTTCAGTGTTCACTTGTGTATGTATGGGGGGAATATAGTACTAGAACAGTTTGAAAACCAAACAAAACAGTGGTGCAAAAAAAGCAACCTTGGCCTAACTGTCTGTAGATGTACTATTATCAGAGGAACAGAGCTGTAATATAAATGTACAATGTACCTATCTACCTTCCCTCTCTGCAGTGGAGAAGTGATTGCCAGTGCCTTTTAGAGAAAAGGTCTTAGTCTGTTAGGTATGTGGGGAAGAATAGAGTGGGGAGGAAGAGGAATTTGTTTTAAGAGATTTTTTTGAATATGTTGAGCATCCTTTAAGCAGTAAGCCAAGAATATCCTTCCCCCAATTCCCAATGATAAAATTCTTACTGCAAGATCAGAGCCAGACATGAAAAATCACACTGCTTAGACTTTGTGCAAGTTCTGCTATAGGGTTTGTCTTCCCACAGTAACACTATACAGCAGGCCAATGGTCAGAAAGCAAATACCAATACCATTTCCTCTCTGTTCACCAATTCTCAGCACAGGAAGCTTCATGTTAGGAAGAAGAACCACCTCTTTGTAGCTGCACTGAGGGGTGCTCAGAAGCACAGGAAGAGCAGTGACTCTGGCTGCTGAGGATCACTGGCAGGGGATGATGGGGAGCTCACAGCAAGCTGGATGGTGCAAGAAACCCACATCACCCATAAACGGAAGAACTGCTTTGAAAGTTGTCAGGAAGACCATATACACCATTATTATGCTCACCATCACTGTGGTCACAGGAGCTACAGGTACTTCTGACAGGTACTTTGGTACCAACTGTCTCTCAAGGGCAGAGGAGGAAAAGGCAATGTATCAGAGTGGTGTTTACTCAATTATTCTTTGGGAAAGAAAAAATCTAGGGGAAGGGATCTTTACAAATTGCTGAAGGGACTTTTTGATGGAAAACCGATAACCTGCAAATCAAAACATTTCTAGCTGCAACTAGATCTTTTCAGTTGTCAACCAATAAGATGTTGAACTTGGGCTTTTCAATGATTTGATGAAAACTGGTAATGATTTTCTTGGAGTATGATATTTTTCATGATAATTAACAGATTTATTAAAATATGGTTGATGGGAGGTTTTCTGATCCATCTGAGCACCCTATCAAGCTTTACTCTTAGGTGTCAGTGAGTTGTCCTGACAAATGAAGTATACTGGGATTTTACAACACTAGATTCAGACACAAGTTATAATAATACTTAATGGGAAGGTTCTTTCCCCTTTCCAAACTCAGTTAAATACTTAGAAAAGCTAATTCAAAAAATGTGGGATCTGAAAATGCAGCTATAATCCTTCTCCTCCCTACTCTACATTAATTATGCAAATTCTTGTTTGTTTTTCTTGGGTTTTTTTGTTAGGACATGTGAGGCAGGTCACAAGGCAGTGATCTTGAGTCTGTCAGGGATCTCTGCATCTAACAGCAAACAGGAATGTGTTTTCTTTCCAGTTAAATGTCATATTCCTGTACTATTTCATCTGTCATCACTATAATCAGGGAAATAGGTTCATATAAACTTTGGAGTGGCAGGGCAGAAATTGCCACCTGTGCTTGACCTGATTAGGAGGGCTGCTTATATCCAAGGCAAAATTGGGGTGAATGTCTTCAAACATTCATTTTTCTGCTGTACTGGGCAATGATGGTGAGGGAAAAGCAACCTGAGATATCTCCCCATACAGATGGGCTCTGCAGCTCATTCAGACTCTGCTTCCCAGTCATGTTATTTATCCACTGTCCTAGGGAGAGGACCTTACAGAGGGAGGGAGTGAAAACAAGGACCAATGTATGTGAACACAGCCATGAATTTGGAGATCTATTCCTGCCTAAGAAGAGAGACACAGTTCTTGGGCTGGCACAGACAGGGCCTCACGCTGGCGTGTAACAGTGCAGACATTTCTCTGTGAAGCACAGACTGGAACTCCAAAGCTATGAGTGACATCCCTGGGCACCTTCTCACGCGCCCTTCTCCTTCTTTCTCTTCGTCAGGGAACAACAGAGTGTCAGCGATGGTAGGTAACAGCTCTGTGCTCACCTGCCCTCCCAAATCAAATACAACTATGGTAACATGGAAAATAAGCCCCAAGGTTGGAGGCCCCTGCACCCTGGGATACAGGGCTGATCAGAACAAGACAGACAGAACAAACTGCAGTGACAGCATGAACTGGAAATTCAGACCAGATCGGGATCCTGCCCTTGAGATACGGCAAGTGGGAATAGCCCATGAGGGAAGTTACACCTGCGAAGTAGTAGCAACAGAAGGGAATTTCCACAAGACGTACCACCTGACCGTGCTAGGTAAGGGACTCCTTCCTCATTTTACAGTTCTCCAAAGGACCATGCCTGGGCCTGGACATAAAAAGCTCCTCTCCCCATGCACCAGGGGATATACTAATCCAATATGCTAACAGAGGGCTCTGCACATGCTTCTGGTTATCCTGTAGAATCAATCATTACTACAGTAATTTAAGAGAACTAAAGCATGTGAGAATAACACTTCCAAGTGCTGAGATAGTCTATCAAACATGGGATGGTCTTATCCAGACGGTAGGAATGGACCCATTTCCTCTTATGCTGGCGTTCAGGTACATTTTAAATGACGTGCACGACGGCTGCTTAGGACAAAAGTCTAATTCAGCCCTGTATTTGGGAAAATTCCCTACCGCAATGTCCAGGGAAACCTCCTCTAATGGTACCTGGCTGTGGTAACTCACCTGAATGGGGGAGAGCTGTCCAAAAGGAAAAGAGAGGCTCGATCTTTGTCTCTGGTGACTTTGGCCCATGTCACTGTAAGGGGATGGCACCTCCCATCTTATTCTCCTCTTTTCACTGTGTTTATTTTGGGTAGAGAACAAGAACACCCTGTCCTAACTGCGGCAAACTAACTCCACGTATTTCCCCTTCCTGACGCTTTGCAGTCCCCCCCAGGCTGACCCTGTACTGTGATGACCAGGGGACCCCCGTGTGTAAGGCAGCAGCAGGGAAGCCGGCTGCTCAGGTCTCGTGGGTCCTAGAGAGCAACTCCACCCCCAAGGAAGAAGGCCATGACAACGGGACAGTGACTGTTCTCAGCAAGTTCACGGCGTACAGCACCAACGTGACTAATACAACCTGCGTTGTGTCCCACCCAGCTGGGAACCAGAGCAAGTCCATAGCCTGTCATCCCTCAAGTACGCTTCCCTTTGTGTGTTCGACATTCAAAACCCTGTTTAGCCTTCTGTGCACACACTAAGACAAACATCAGTGGCACTGGCAGGATTGCGGCAGGAACCGTGCAGCTGAGCTGAAGTTTCCAGTGAGAAATTTGTCGGGAGGAGGAAGGATAAACAAAAGTGCTGTCAGAACTGTAAAGTCCTTTGTGAAATTCTAGGAAAGGAGATGGATGTAGTGGTCTTCCCTTCCACCAATAGGGCTGAATGGAAAGGCAGGATTATTCAGAAGTTCATGACACACAAAGGTGTCAACGGTATGATCACCCAGATCTATGTATTGTAATCCAGTGGTACCGTTGCATCTTGCTAATTGTTGGGTTACACATACGTTGTGACAGGAAGACTGAAAGCCAACTTACAGCTTCCAAAGACTGGCTGGTAGGTGAAGGCTTTAGGTGGTGAAGTTGAAGACGTTGCTGGGAAGTTGTGTGCACCCGTATGTACTTCACTGAAGTACTCAGTTGGAAGAGAATCAGAGCTGAAATTTTCTGGGATGCACATGCAAGGCCTGCAGCTGGACTATGGGAAGAGGTGAGGAGGAGGATCTAATTAGTGCCCATACAGCAAAAGACAAGGCTCCTCCATCAAGGGCATGGGGGGGATGTTGTTTATTCCCAGTTCTGTGCCCGGCACTGTATTCCAGCTACCTTAGGTCATCCTCCGAAGTACAGCACAAAGAGAGCATTGTCTAGAAGATGCCATCCTGATAGAGGCACAGGGTAGACAAACGGTCTGTGAGATGTACCTAAAAGAACAACTGTTTCTCTTTAGAGAATAGTACATGGTTTCCTCACTGTGTCATCAGCCTTGCTAGCCTCCTGGGCCTCCTCTTCCTGCTTACTGTTCTTCATCTCTACACCTTCTGTGACAGCAGGTATGTATGGGACATGATACACACAAACCCCTTTGGCCAGTCCTGGGCATAAAAAGTTTAGAAGGGCTTCTGGTACTAATTTATGTCATGTGCGGTCACCTCAGTCTGTCACAAACACACCAGTTCAGCACATGCTCATGGAGGTTTGTCTGAGGTCTATAACACCACAGCTGGGGCAGAGCGGGAGGGAGTCCATACATGAGTGTTAGGGACCTTCTTCCTGCTGCCATACTTCTTTCAGAAGCAAAAATACAAAGGGAATGGTTAGGTTTTTCCACCCAGTTGAGGGATCTGAACAAAGATTGCCAGGCTATGAAGATTAAAGAGGCAGCAAAATATCTTTCTGAGCTTGGAGCCAGACTTTTGGTCCATTTTGTCCAACTCAAAGGAAGCCAGGGCCAATGTAGAAATGCAGGAAGTATTGCATGAGAGCAGAACAGGTCTGCTGTTGTAACTGCTCAGGAGTTCTGGCAGCAGTTTGGCAGCTTGGCCAATTACTGTATCTGAGCTAGCCTCTCTGTCACAAGGTGCAATTGCTGCCCAGAATTACAGTACAAACACCACAGAGGCAGAACTAACTACTGTGTTCAAGTCACTTGAGCTTCACGCTTTGCCGGGGCTCTTGGCAGCTCTCTGGTGCTGTCTGGAGCATAGCCAGCTCTGGTCATGCTCATGTGAGATTACAGACATAAAGCCTTATGTTCTTTTGTTTCTCTACCAAATAAAGAGGAGGAATTCTGTTCCTACATTCCTAGAGCTCAAAATCACATTCCCAAAACAGCCTCGTCCTCACACTTAAAAGTATTGGTGTCTTGTCTTCTAGGACAATGAGAAACCAGTACAAGCCAAGGCATTTTCCATCTGCAGAGCTGTCTGGACTTATTTCTAACTCAGCACCTAAGCAGAGATGAAAGAAACTTCCCAGTATGCCTCAGTCAGTAATGTGACATGCAGCAGGGACTCACCAGTACCAAAGCGTTCAGGAGAAGCAAACATCCGCAGTGCAGCCGGTGTAACTGTGCAGAAACATGGCATGCAGGGCAGATCCTACCTGACCCTTGTCAGCTCTGTCTTCCATCATCTCTCTAGTGCAACTATAGATGCTGTTATCACTCATGCAAGTATCAATCTCTTTATAAAACCAAATCTAACATATATGCGATAGGAAATTAATTCATGTTGTATAAAATGAGGTCACTCCATTGCAAATACATTGTATCCTAGTATTTAAGTATCATGTCTTATAGGATAAAATAAATCAGAAGAAATTTTCTTGATACTGATGAGCAGCAACCTTCCCAGGATGATCACACAGGACTGAAGCTAAATTTGAGCAGATCTCATTTTCACTATAAGAATTTTGAAGTGTTTCACCAACAGCTACAAAAAAGGGAGAGAGAGAGAATATTTGAGCTTGAGCAGTTATTGCTACATGAAGCATAGAAATTATTACAATCCTGAGATCTAAGCCTCACACTCATTTACCTCTTTGCATCCAGAGAGCTGCAGCCCACAGAACACAACTCTCTAATATTGATTTCTTTGAACACATCTTACTGGTCCTATCACAAGGGAGCCCTTGAGTTTAATCTTTCATTCGATGACATGCTGCCACTACTAAGCCTCTAAACATAGCTGTGCCTCTTCACTATTCCTTAACTTCTATTCTGAATAGATATGACTAGAGCTGAATATTACTATGCACCTGAAATTTCAAAGGAACCACAGGTATTTCAACCTCACTCCTCCATGCCCAGCACAAATCCACGTTTCATCATTGTTACTGTACAGAACACTATTTCAAACTGTAATACATCTGGAGACCTTTCCCACTTGCTACAGTCATTCCATTTGATAAACCTCCGCAATGAGAGGTTAATAATATTCCTGCGAGATGTCAGCTTATATAAGGGCAGAATTGGGAAGGTGCTGCAGGAACACCTTTGCTAGGCATGCTACCCTGTGTTTGTGCATTTCACATGCCCAGGTTACAGAGCTGTTAGGCCTTTCTACATTCTTCAAAACACTTCCAATCCCAGACTAAGTCTTTTTTTTCCCCTCCTTCTTTTTTCTTTTTTTTTTTTTTTCCATTAGCTATTCAAGCATTTATTTATTTTTGGGGGGTATCAGTTACACAGATCTCTAGCTCTCAGTCAGCAAGCTGGGCTTAGAATTGGAGCATTAATACGTTACAGAGAAAGTAAAACACAGAAGCCAAGGTACTAAACTCCTCTGGGCATTAGGGGCTCTTTGGGGGGGGGGGGCAGGGGGCAAGCCTGCACAAGTGTCCACAAAGCTCTTCTGAGGGCATCAGTGAATCTCAGCCAGATTTATTAGCTTTGTTGTAGTGCCCTTTGCACACAGACCAGGTTTAAGGCTGTGAAGATAGGGCAATTGCCCAGACACCCAGGCCAGAATAATACCTGCCTAAGGCTGAGTTGGATAGCATTGCAAGTGCAGGGAGGAGGAGAGGGTAGAGAACAGGGAACTCCACGGCTTCCACAAAGCCAGAACATGATCCTGATCTTTGTTGTTCATTCACTGCTTGTACCCATGACTGACCACATCTCAAGCTTTGTGAGCCTCATTTCACATCTGAACCAGCTACTGAAAGAGCCAGGGCCAAAACCTCACCTAAACTTCAGTAATAAAAAAATCAAGCTTTTCAATCTCAGCACACTAACATATAGAATATTATCTAGCTTTACACAGAAAAGGAAATGCCATGCCACCGCACTCCCTCCCTTGCGCAGCTTTTCTACCACTACCTTGCTGCCCCTCACCCTTTCCTGGTGCAGCCGATAAACTGATGTAAATCACTACCTGGGGCGGTTTCTGCAGAATGACACCTGCAGGATGCAGACAATGATTCTGCTGGCACAGTGCCATGAAACGGCTCCTTTCATGTTTACAGACACAGCCCCATTCTGTCCATCTGTTGTCACATATGGCTGCTTGGTCACAACAGAGTGTGAACTCTGCAGAGCTGACACACAGTGCAAATGAACTCAGAGGCAAGAGCTAGAAGTATAAACAATTCAGAGGCTAATGAAATTACTGCTAATTCTTTGTGGTAACCTAACTGCTTTATCAAAAGGCCAGCAAGCAGAAAACCACACTGACTTTAGTTGATATTTGTAGCTATCCTGGTAACTGAGTTTCCACAGTGCACATCAACTGACTGCACGCAAGTCATACTCAGCTAAATCTCATCTCTGCAGCAGCTAAGCAAGCGTTGAGCACCTACACATACAAACCTACACACAAACACACAGCTTCTCCACCAGCGGTCTCATTTTACGTTAAGACCATCCGCAAAGTTGCAGCTCTGCTTGGCTCTTACTAAGTATATTACAGACAAAGGGAGTACACAGAGAAGACTCATCTTCCTTTCCTCTCTTCACAAACTGCAGGGCAAGTCAAAATTTCACAGACACCAACAAAGACATGCCCTAGGTTAGCAACAGCCCACCGGTGTTGGCGTTACTCAGGACGTGTTCTTGTTGAGCTCTACTTACTGCATTTCTCTTCCTTTTCTCCAGATTGGTGAGGTCTCCAGCCAGAAAGAAAAATATCTCACATCCTTTGTTGCAGTTTCCATTCAAATGGCTCAGACTCTATCCTCCATCAGGGATAAGAGAGATCAAACTCACATACCAGAGTCCACAGGGTTCTGTAACCAGCCTTGCCCCTACTCCTTGGTCTATTTACTCTCAAGGCCATCACAAATCCTTCTGCAGGAGGGAGGATAAAGCAACCTAGGGTTTCTACAGTCAGGTTTCAGCCCAGTCTCCTGGGCAACTACAGGAGCAACTAAGAACATTTCTTCCTTTCTCTCACTGGACACCCATCTTCTTACCGGTGTGTTCACCACATGGTAACGACAGATTTGATTGGAATGTGCTAGATCAAATTTTTAGCTGTTAGAGCTGTTTACCTATTGATCGGCAGGCTGCTGTGCTTGCCATGGGGCTTGCTTGCCTTACTATATATTAGAGTCTAGTGCTCATTAGTGGCTGCTTTTTGCTTTCGCTGCTTGCTGTACTGCTGATCATCTTACTCTGCTGTGCCTGGGAACATTTTGGTAACAGCAATGGCGATGCGCCTGGGCTGGCAGATGGCCAGGGCATCGCTGCTGTTTCTGTG